TTCTTCATCGTCTCTCCTTTTTTAAATTTTTATCCACTCCTGCTATGGCGGGAAGAGGTGGTTCCTACCTCAGTACATATTCAAATGATACAGACAAGGTTTAGATAAAACCTGATGAAATATAGAGTAACAGGGAAGAGAGGCTTCAAAGGGTTTTCACAGTCCTGCTTGTTGGAAATTCATCTAAAGATTACACATTCAATTTATGCCAAGCCCATCAATTTTACAAAGAGCCCTACAAACAGCCTTTAGAGAACCTAACTTTTTAGTGATCACCTTCTATGTTAGTACAAAGAAACTGGCTTCCCACGTCACGGCCAAAATCAACACCCTAATTTGGGCCCACTAACCAGACCTTCCCTTTCAAAAGGGCCCCTCAGACAGGAAACATACTCCGTGTACTCTCCCCTCACCCCAATTCTGCTACCGATGTTTATTCTAAGTCAGTTTTACTGGGATATACAGCAGTAGAGTGGAACAGAGGAACAGATTTGGCCAGAGCCTTTCTAGTGATTAGAACCCTGGTCTCTAGTATAAGTAGAACTGGGTCTCCCCCCAGCCTACTCCTCCATCCAAGCCCTCCCTTCCAACCCCTGCCCCAAACCCATGTGTGCCTGGCCCTCTCCACCCATTGCCCAGCAGTCTTCTTTGCTGAAATGCCTCTCCCGAGCTCACCTTAACATCTCTGCTCTTTTGGGATCTACGAAAGCCTCACCTATAGTGACGACATCTTTCCTAATACAGCTAACCCACCCTTCCCTCCTCTGCACTCAGCTGCACCACGGATTTCACATTTGGCCACAGGGCCTGTCATCTTACATACATAACACCCTGTCGGTGTCTGAAAGCGCCCTAATACCTATGACCCGTGAGGTGTACCATGTGCTGGCATGTTAGCCCTTGAGTCTTTGAGGATCGTGGGATACAATAAGGCAGATGTTATCACAGTTACGTTATATTCTCATTTTTCAAATGGTAGCATTGAGGCATAGAGATGTTAAGTAACCCGCCCAACTAGGAGGTAGCAGAACTGGGATTTGAACTGAACTTGGTCTCTCAGCACATCTGTAATTACTTCCTACCGTAACCAAAATCGCACGGAGGTTGGCTCCATCTCAAGTCCAGTTCCGAGTGATTGGTCATAGCTGCCCCAAAGTGCTGTGTTAAAAAGCCAAACCCAGGCTCAGCAGGAAAGGGAACCCTCCACGAGGAAGGAGCAATGTCAGCCACGGGCCCAGCTTTAAAAGGGGGAGCACGCGGCCACCTGTCTGCCTTCCCCTGTAGCGTGAGAACTTTCTCGAGCTGGGAGAGCAGCAACCACCAGGCCGCACGTTCCACAGCGCTTAGAACATGGAGCTTAACATACAGCGCGTGAGGGTCGATGTTTACTGCTCGTAGCTGCGTCTGCACCCTCGATAAGGCGCCCCATCAGAGGCACTGCTCCAGCGGCCGCAACAGCCCCACGAGGGGGGTCGTAAGCGAACAGCTCTGCTCTGGACCAGCTGAGCAGCTTCGCTAGGTGACTGATTCCAAACTAACATGCATGCAAAATAAAACGTGAAGCTTATGGAAAACTGTTTGATCCAGAAGGCTGACTATCAATGTAAAAAATAAGTGTTGCTTCTGCGTGGTGACAATACTTTTCATATGCACTACATGGTACAGAGAAACCGTAGACTGTGCAGAGCGCACACTCTGCACCTGGTTTACTCCTAAGGCCGTGCATCTCCTCTGGGGACCCCCATCAGATGTGATAATATCTGCTTCACTGTATCTCAAGATTCTGGGGAGAATCAAGGGCTAAGGGATCAGTAGAGATGATACCTTACCCCACTACCTGCTGCAGCCACCCCTGTTCTGTCAGTCAATAAATGAGAATGAGAGAGATGTTTCTGACAGGTGCTATTGTCAATTCCTGGAGACAAAATTACTAATTACCCTTCTCCTACAAGCCAGCTCTCCTCCCCTCCCCAGCTTCCCTCCCAGCCCACCTCCTGCCTCGGGCCAGGAGTCCGCCGTTTCTGTTTCATCTCTTTACCATACCTCGGGATGGGGGCCTGTCCAGGAACCCAGGCCAAAACCAGCAAATGTATCACCATGCTCCTGACAGCAAGCTGCACGCTGAGCGAACTCTGCAGTCCCCCTAAACTCCTTCCTCTGCCAAAACCCGGGGAGCCGTAAGATCCAGCGGATTACAGAGACTTACCTCCACATGAAGGATGGCTCTGTTGGAAAATGCAATTAGGGATCAGCCGTGAGGCTGTTTTTAGCAGCTTGTTTGGGAAGACCTCAAACACAAAAATGGCCCTTTGCTGCGAGATGTTAGCCAATTCGCCACAACAGAGCGTCACTGAACACATCGTAAACACACCTTTAGCAACATGGAGCGTTAAAAAGACGAACCTTATGTCCCCTAGTAATGGCTCATTGTTCCAAGAGTAGGTGGATGTTTGTGGAGTTTATAGGACTTTCAGTCCTGGTGGCAAAATCCTGTCTTTATTTACATGAGCAGCTTTTCCCAGGCTGGGGGAGGGGGGTGTTAACCCAGTCGTTCCAAAGGAGCTTCCCCAGGGGTTGGGATAGGGGGCCGGTCATTCCAACAGGAGCCGGGAGGTCATGGCGCACAAGGCTGAGCACCCACTGGGGTCAGTGTGTGAGATGGGGAGGCCCGTGGTCGGGAAAGCATGATGTTGGGGAGGCTCTACAGGAGCAGGTCACTGTCAGTATCATTGGGAGGAGCTACTCAGGCTCGTAGGGGGCTCCTGCCCTGAGGCACCTGTGCCAGATCCCCAGGAAACAGGCAAGGCCCAGGGGACACTGGCTCCCCACACTGAGGGCATGAGGAAGCCCTAAGGCCTGCTCTAAATACAGAGATGTGTCTCAGTGTTGTGTTCCTTTGTCTCAGCAATGTAGCCCTTTATTTGAAGAATGGGTATGCTAAGCTTCTTTAAAATTCAAGGCAGGGATAATTGATGCAGGCTGGCGTCTCAGCCCAGCAGTAGCCTTAACTCAACTCCTTCACTCTGTTCATGAAGACGATGACGACCATGTCACTCAGAGTGGAGAGGAAGCCCCATCTGGGGCAGGACTGGCCTGCGGTTCAGGTCATGTTCCTGTTGGCTCCAGGCCCTTCCAGGACTCATTCTTGGGCCAGGTGTCCACATCCCCTACTCCCTCTCAACACCTCCCCAAGTTACCACCTTCCCCACTTGGAATTGGGGTGCAATCATTGCTATGACCAATCCTTGGCTTCCTCTCTGTGCACAGTCTTCTCCAGTGGAGACACATGAAGGCTAGGCACAGGCTGGCACAGCGACACACCTGGAACCAGCAGCCTCTGAGGGGGAGCTGAGGGAACTAATGATGTTTAACCCAGAAAGGACAAGTCTACGTGCAGAATCATGGCATCCTGAGATGTGTGGAGGGCTCTCGTTGCCAACGAGAGAAGATCCTTTCTCTCTGCTCTTCCCGAGAACTGACTGGGTCCGAGTCTGAAAGTTACAGGAAGCAGCCACATCAGTAATTCCTTATATACAATTCCATCAGCGAGACAGCCTGGATACATACGAGAGGGAGGGGAAAGGACCATTTCATTCTGTAGAAAAGATTCCTAAATTGGGCAGGAAGCTAAACTGAATGACCTCTGTCCCCCCCCCCAATCATGACATTCTAGGAATGCTCTAGAACTTCAGGTGAGTGACAAGGTCTCCTGTGACTGCTTCATTGTCTACTCAGTTCAGCCGTAACCTTTGAGGCATAGAATGTACTTTGTGTGAAGAAAGAAATACATGAGACAAGGGACCGATGACGTTCCCAGGCTTTCTTGAAATCCCCCAGTGGCCTGATGACACCCCCCAAATGGGATGCATAATGTAGACAGAACTGACATTTTAACTAGTGTGCCGAGCCCTGCACATAAACAAACCCCAGGGCTGCTGTTTCACCCGTCCCTCAAGCACAAAACCATAGAGTTTTAGAGGTGGAGGGACCCTAGAGGCCGTGTCATCCCCAAATCTTAAGCAGGGCAGGAATTCTCTCACTCCAGTAACCCCACACGGTCACCCAGCTTCTGCTTGAGCACTTTCAGGAAGGGGCTCACTGCTTTGCCAGGAGGTTAGTCCATTCTGAGACACCTTAATCCATGTTGAGACCGTCCTCACTATGAGCTCTTTCTTCCTCATATGGAGCCCCAAGTCTGCCTTCATTCAACTTGACTTTTGCCTTCAGCGATAGGACAAAAATAAATGTTTTCTCATCCCAATGACAATGTTTAGATTTTTTAAGATAGCCATTATTGCCATACTTCCTCTCTCTCCAAGTATTTTCTTCTCCATTTAAATGTCTCAGGTCACCTCAGATATTTCTCATACTGCATAGTGTCAGACACCTCACCATCCCAGTTACCATCTTCTAAATATTTTCTATTTTCCAAATGTTCCTTATACAGAGTAACTCCCAGAACAAATACCATCTGTGGTCTGATCGCTGTAGAATCAGTGGAGCTATCACCTCCTTTGATCTATACCTTTATTAATACAACCTAGAATTATATGTTTCATACCAAATGATCAACTGTTGTGTTTATCTTAAGGTTATGATTAACCAAAACCATCTTTTGCTTTGACACAAGTTCATATAGCTTAAAAGGATGACGTGGATTTAAAAGTCGCCCTATAAATTATTAAAGCATCAGACCTTACATCCCTATTTAAGATCAGAGCCCTAGCAAAGATGATTAGTGACAGACTAAGATAACTGAACCCCAAAATGGTTTAACCCAACTGTGAAATATGTATCGGCAGGGATGTGCCAAGGCCCAGCCTTTGCAGTCTCTTCTTCCAACGAAATTCAGTGTGTAGAAGGGCTCTTCCTGGAAGCTGTGCCCACTTATGTCTCCCTTACTTTGCCTTTTTTTTTTCCAGCTTGCCACATGCTTCTGAGGCCAAGTCTTCCTCCAGCCCCTGGGAACTCACTAGGATTTTCCTTTGTGTCTCTGACAGGTCACCTGAAGGAAGAAATCACCCAGCGGCACCTGCAGCAAGCAGCTCTAGGTGAGTACAAAGCGGAGCCTGCAGAGGAAGGTGAGGTAACACAAGCTGACTATCCTGGAGACCACACTCGGCTAAAACACAACCCGTCCAAACCCTCGGGAAGGTGCAGGAAGACAGGTCCCCTGTCCATGTGGCTTTCTGCGCACACCCCTCCTTCCCGGGACAGTTTCCCCCACCGGCGTGCTTGCTCCTGGCTGGGCTTTCGAGAGCCACCACTAACTAATCTTAACAGTATCGACCGGTGGTGTAAACAGCTTCTGTTTGCCAAACCCTCTCTGTGAGCACTATATGTGCCCTGTCTCCTTCTGCCCTCACCACCGCCTGAAAAGGTAAGTGCATTTTTCAGTACCAAGGCAATTCAATGACGTGCCCAAGGTCACATGGCTACTAAGTATGAAACTAGGATTTGAACCCAGTTCTCTGAGTCCAAACTTGGTGCTTTTAGCCCCACACTACTTACTGCCCACGACAGTGGATGCACTTCAGTTCATTAATATGCAGACACTAAAACACGCTGATATTCTGAAAGGCCTTTGGCACCTTTTAAGCAGTGACATCTGCAGAAAATACTCCCTTTTGACATGTGAAGTGAGCTTGGGGAGAGAGTGGCTCCCAGAAAGGCTGGCAGAGCGGCATCTGGGCAGCACCAGCTTGCACCTCTGCAGCTAGCCTGGGACCAGCACACATGCAGCTCTGATTAAATAAGCAACCTGTGTATTCCAAAGGAGATGGCTTGGCCCTGGGTGACCTGTAACTGGAGAGATCCAGCACCCGGACTTCTAGGGCCTAGTGGGGGCCAGCCCCCGTGTCACCAGGATGACCCATTTGACCCAGTAACTTGGGTAATTAGGAAGGTTGGTTGTTTAGTTTCAGTAATAATAATGATCACATCAATAACTACTGATTACATCAGAATAAAGAACAGCAGAGCCCAAGACTAACCAGAGCTTGAGCTTCCCACTGTTGGCCCCGGGACTGAGAGGGCAGGTCAAGGTGCCGGGCCTGCCCTCCGACTGCCATCGACTGGGACTCAGAGCCGAGAGTCTGCCGAGTGACTTCGACCAGGAGCCAGGGACTCCCCGGGCCCTAACGCGGAGGGCTGGGCTTAGGAAGGGCACAGGGACCTCTGCAGGGAAGCTGTGCCAAGGTGACCTTTGGGCCTCCTGGGTAGGTCCCTGAATGGGGAGTCATCCCTAAGGGCTGCCACTGGGCCCTGCCTTTGAGGGCTGCCATCTGGCCTCTTCTCCAGTCTTCAGGATGCTGGCTGAATAGGAACAATGCTGTAGAAAACGCCACTCAGGGGACTCCAGGGGCCGTTTTTATCTAGGGCAAGAGGTGCTCCTTCCTGCCT